AGTGTGATGTGAGACAAGAGGACAGAGGGGGAAGGAGTGTGATGTGAGACAAGAGGACAGAGGGGGAAGGAGTGTGATGTGAGATAAGAGGACAGAGGGGGAAGGAGTGTGATGTGAGATAAGAGGACAGAGGGGGAAGGAGTGTGATGTGAGATAAGAGGACAGAGGGGGAAGGATGGGTTTGTCTTTCCTTCTCTTTTTGTGTTGTGAACATTGTAAATGTAATGTAGCGTGGAATGAACATACAAAGCATACATCATACGAAGCAAACTATGAGGGGGATGTCCAGTTGCAAAAAAAATATCACATCTGTTTAGCAGCTGTACCAAAAGACACTTTTACATCTGAGAACCTTTAGTTTTATTGCACCCCTTATTATTGCAAGATATGAGCATCATGATAGTCACCGTTTGGGTCGAATCTTGTCTCATCTTGTCCATAACGATGTCAAGGTTTGCTTCCTTCACCTAATACACACAAATGTATTGATTATTTTTGACTAATTGCATCTATAAAAGATTTAAAACTAAAAACGATTCAAAACTCAAAATGTTGCGATTTGTGATTAAATTGCACTGCTGAGAGCCAATCAGATTGCAAGAATCACCAGTAATTTCAAAATGTATCAAATCAAATCACACTGGTCACGACTTCTAAGTTACAAAGCCAAGTTTATATATAAAGCATACTGTGTTTTTTGCTACAAAAAACAAGAAACAAAAAACAAAAAAAACAAACAAAAAACAAAAAAAACAAAAAACAAAAAAACCAAAAAAACAATAGAGATTTAGGGAATTGTAATAGGTCGTTATCAATTGCCTCTATCGTACTAATCTTTGTTCTTACCTGGTTAACAGCATCGTGATCTTGACGATTTTTCTCCAGCGATTCCTGAAACGAAATAAAGTTGAATGGATGCAAAACTTAGAAGGAAAACGAAGGGAAAAATGGAAGAGGGAGAGATTAGACAGGAGGTCTATAGGAGGTCTATAGGAGGTCTATAGGAGGTCTATAGGAGGTCTATAGGAGGAAAGAGAGATGGAAGGAAGGTGAGAGGGAGAGAGAAAGAGGAAGACAAAGGGGAGAAAAGGAAGTAAGGAAGGAGGGAGGGAGGGAGGGAGGGAAGGAAGGAAGGAAGGAAGGAAGGAAGGAAGGAGGAGGTAGAAAGAAACCAAAGAATGGGAAAACATTTCGTAATTCCGTAGCTTGTTGCTGACCTGTAATGTTCGTTCTTGGTGTGCTAACCCCAGCTCATGTAAGTCCCACAAGTGAGCAGACCCTTGAACAAACTTGAACAAGGACTTGATCAACATCTCTTGAAAACTTGTTAGGTTCTCCAAAGAACGCTGACAAAATAAATAACAACACATACATAAGATATATATATATATATTAAGCGGAATTCGTATGGTTATAAAGATTAAAGAATGGATATTCCTAGTGTTAATGCTCTCAGTGTACGAGTACAGTTCTCGTGCTCTGTCAATGGTTAATTGAATAGAGAGGTTTTCGCATGAAAGGAAGAAGGTACGGATGAACTCATCGTACAGTAACCGCACTGTATTTTAACGCAACCGCAATTAGTCGTTTTCGTATGAGTTGGAAACATATGGTAGGTACTGACTCACATCACGTACAAGGTAGAATTTTTTTCTGCACTTCATCCAGTCACAGGCTTAGGTACGGTCGACTAAAATATGGCATGGCTTCTGTCAAGAGAGCATAAATGAGAGGGAATCTTCTAAACAACGCGCGCACTATGGCAATTCCCTGTTGGGTTACTTGTAGTAACCGGATGCCGTTTAAATTTTGTCCTTATCCTACTTCCGTGCGTCTTCAACTTGCGCGCGAGCGCTCTTTTCCGTTTATTGTTTTGATCACTAAGAAGTTATTAAGAAGTTTCCCTCTCTTATTTATGCTCTCTTACTTCTGTACAGCTACGAATTCTCGTATGGTTCCCGACTCATGCGAAGACCGCTGTACGTGTAGATTCAATTAGGTGTACAATAACATCGGGATGGAGTACCGTGTGTAAACCGAAATATGGTGACCAATTTAAATAACTATCTTTCTACACTGACTAGCGACTGACTAGGCTCACATATGTGAAAACGCTTTTATATTTCCACGTGAACCCGAGGCTAGTCAGTCGCTAGTCAGTACAGAATAATAGTTTTACAAATAACATATTTCCATTCGGTGTATAAAGCACGCAATATATCAACTGTGATAAGTCAAGGCACATGGCACATGGTACGGAATTGACGACATCCTTTGAACCAATCAAAGGAAGCGAGATAACTGCTTAACTGCTAAATTATAACTGCAGAAACGGCGTTGCTTCAACACGGCACCGCAAGGCATGGCACGCACACAGTCATGTGACACGCATCCAGTCATGATGACACGCACACAGTATGTAACACGCACAGTAATAAGAAACCTGTTCAATGCTGCAATTCAGCATCATACGAAAACCGCTTTATAACCATTTGCCATGTGCTGACAGTGCAATGTGTCGTTCATTCTTCAGATCCAAATCCACAGAGACCACGCCCAATAGTTCTTCAATACTTACCTCCATCTTTTCGACTTCGTATTCAAACTTGGTTTGCTTCTCGCCCACAAGAGGAAGAAAATGTTCGTTCAGCACCTGAAAACACCAAGATGTTAAAATAACTACGTATTCGAGTTGCACTGTATTACAAAAGGAGATCTCGGTCATAGAGATAGCCTGCGTGCAGCCGTTAGTTAGTTCGGCTGCACGCAGGCTATCATAGGGAGATAGGGTGGGGGATGTACCCGTTGCCCGCCAACACATAAGTGTGTAAGCGTTTCTTCTTTAGCGTTTCCCGCATGCACCTTTACCTACCTCATCAATACGAACATCATCTAGAATGCCACTTGCAATGAATTCTTCCTGCGGGAAAATGTACTTAGTTTGAACAAGATATACCAGGTATGGGGAGCATTAGTGTGAAGTGTTTGTCTAGGAGTTAACCTGGGTTAAAGGGCTCTCTCTCGCTCCAGTACTTCTCGGCTTGTCTCGTGATAACGAAACCTACAACCGAGAAGCACTGGAGCAATAGAGCCTCTGGAACCCAGGAAATGTGGAAAAGGGCGAAATGTGATGAAAAGGAGTTTCTTTTCAAGACAGCACTCTAAACAAGTGTCTTTTTTCTCGCAAAGTGCCTGGGTGCAGGGCATGGAGAGGAGAGCAGAGTGATGTCTAACATCCCTGCACATCATTGACCCACAATAATATTCATTATTTATCATTTATAATAATTCACATACCTTATATTTGCATACTTCTTCTAGGCATCGTTGGATCACTTTTTCATATTCTTCATTCAATATCGTCTTGTATTTTATATGCAGCTCCTCTGTAAAAACGTATTAACAAGTTAATATCATTTGACTGATGATGATGGTGATGATGATGACAGCGATGATGATGATAAGGTCTTGTTGATTATTATGATGATGTTGTTGCTGTTGTTGATGATGATGATAACGATGATGTTGTTGTTGTTGATGACAATGATGTTGATGTTGTTGATTATAATTATGATTATGATAATGATGATGTTGTTGTGGATGATTTTGTTGATGACGACGATGCAGATGTTGTTGTTGTTAATGATGATGCTGATGATGTTGATGTTGTTGATGATGGTGATGATAATGATGATTATTATGATTATTATGATGATGGTAATGATGTTGATGATAATGATGATGATGTAAATGTTGATGGTAATGATGATGATGATGTTGATGATAATGGTAATGTTGTTGTTGATGATGATGATGATGATGTCTATTGATTACTCACCTAGATCATGTCCAAGAGAAACCAGTGAACTATGCCATTGATACACTGCAGATTTGGTGGAGTTTGGTGGCTTAAGATTTCTGAAACACAAATAACAGGCAATATAAAATCTGTTCCAAAAAGTATTCTGTCTTTTCTTTTTTATAAAATTGTTCACTATTTTGACTCTATCTACCCTTTACGACATCTTCCTTTTACGACTGTTTTACACGCTGATCAAGACAAGAGTCGAACAGGGAAATAAGGCGAAACAGCAGGCGTCAATCATAGTATGCAAATATATCTAACAATATATTTGATTGATGGCAGTGTATCGCCGTATTTCACTGTTGTGACTGTTGTTTCGATTAGCGTGTAGCAGTGAAACGAGTGGTAAATTTTCCACCACAGACAATTAGACAATTAGGTATATTTGACATGCTTTTGTTGCTGGAAGTATTGTGTTCAACTCACCTCAAACTTTCAAGTATATCATGCCTTCTACTATTGATTGCTTTTTGTTCCAATGTAAAACACTCTAGTTCTCTTTGAACATCTGGTGGGTCTTTGATTGGAGGACTCTGCATAAATTCACTGTAAAAGATGAGTGTATTCCATATGATATCATGCAGACTGGCATTGGATAAGAAATAGGGGAGCAACTTAAAAAAGACAGCCCAGAAATGTTTCATGGTTAAATGGGTGTGTTGTTTATAGTCCCTGTGCATGGCTCCATTGGTACAGGTAACTATGGTTTGTTAGCCACAACAAAAACTGGGGGGGGAGGGGGGGGCTTTTTGTGCTATGTTTTCTTTATTCTTTTCAATATTTCATGCTTTCATTTTTTTCTGTTGAAATGTTGCAAATCTGCTATTTCAATATAATTACCATAGCTGATTACTCAAAACTATAGCACATACAGTATTACCTATTTTTTTAGTGCCATATTTAATGATATCTAATATGCATAAATTTACATATTTTAAAACAAATGGTAATAATATTGTATTGTTGTTGTTGTCATTCATTAGCCAAGGCAAATTTCCAATACTTGGTGTTGTAGTATTCTCCACTTTTCTTTCATCCTTCCATATTTCATTCCAATCTCATCCCAGATATTTTCTCATTTGATGCTCACCTAAACTTCCTGGTAGATTCCTTGCACTTGAGTAGTCTCCAGTCTTCTACTCTCGTTTGCCACTTAATGTAACATTTGCGCTCCCTCTCTATGTCAGCTGGAGATATGAATTTAAATAGAAAACAAGATAAGATTCATACTTCAATTGTCCTATTTCAAAATGACGTCACATCAAAACAAACTATTGTTTTAATGCTATAGGGATCATGGTCGCTGGAGGGAGATGGAATGACAACAACACATCTTACATCACAATGAAATTTGGTTTATGAACTGGTGAAGGCAAGAAAAACTAAGTAATTGTCCCGCAACCAGCTGAAATGGTTATTTATTGGCCAGTAAGTTCTTGATATGGAATCAGGGACCAACTATAGGCCAGTAATTTTTTATATTTCCCCCATTTACTTTCCATTTTTTTGCAAATTCTTAATTATTTTGTCGTTTAGCAATGTGTTATAGATGCCCAGTTAGAGATAGAAAATACTGCATGCTCCAGAAGCCAATAAGAATGAATGATTCTTGGGATACTGGAGTGAAGAAAATAAAATATACTATTTTTTCCTTTTTTTTACCCATCTTCCATTTCTGCCGATGTGTATATCATGGTGGGGAGATCACGGGGCAATAAGTTGCATTACACTCAAAAGAAACTGTTGATCTTAGCAGGGATGGGGAAACTGCACAACCATTGACTAGAAAAACCCTTAAATCACAGGAGAGGAGCAACAACCTTACTGATCGATGTGATGCATTATTGTTCTCCCTATTTAGATACAGTGTGTCTAGATCAGGTGTGCATTTTTCAAAAGGCACATACTGCATGTACCGCAGACTATAAGTATTCAGTGTTTAATTGTAGCACTTTTCCTGTCCCTTGCAAGCAATTTTCAAAATTCCACGAGGACTCGTTGTTGTATGTGTCTGAGTAGAGTTGTTTGTCACTTGTCTCCTGTGCAGGGTATTTATCTAGTACGTTCTTCTCCTTCACAAAAATCAATTCCTAAATTCCAATTGCAATCACAAAGTGGAAGAAGAGCCACCTGTAGAAGCTGACTGTTAATTGACCCCATTAAAAATGATGTTGAAATGCCAACATAAGAATAAATCCTTGGATATTTCTTGTCTTTGTTGTTTTGACATTTAGTTACAAGCTGCAACTTTCCCTTACATCAGCTGTGCAATTGAACAGCACTGCTAACGAAAGGAAGAATTACAGCATATATATACTATATCTGCAGTATTGAAGGTTCTTCATAATTACATATTGTACTTGTTATCTTGAAGATCTCTTGACCTTCATGTCACAGACTAATGTATTATCTATCAATAAGAGAGGCTGCTTTACATGTAGCTATATTGTTATAATGGCTATTATTGCTGGACCATTTATTTTTCCCGACCTTATCAACTTACCACTCAATAAGTGTGCAATCAGATCAGCACATGACCTTTTGTTAGTGAGAATAGTTGAGTTAATGTGTAAGGCTTCTTTTTCTAGCATCCTATGAACATCTGGTGGCATCAGATGAGCTATTCTCTCCAGGGTCTTGTCATAGCTTCGAAGGGTCTCTCGTAACTATGGGCATAATAAATTAAGTTTAGAGCTTGAATTATTTGTCAGGGGTGCATCCATGTGGTGGACTTACAGCATTTTTTTGTCTACAGCCTCTAGACTATAGAATCTAAAATAGTATACAATCAATATATCATAAATGGCTAAATAGACACATGTACATCCTGCACATTCAAATTTGGTTTTTAAGTGGCATCATCAGTCAAAACATTTATGTAGAAGATACAAGTGACTATTTTTGATGATGGCTGGTTGTGAAAAAAATCATTTTTAAGCCAGCAACTGAGTCACTCCTCATAAGGTACTATAAGTGTCATAAATATATATTGAAGACTCCTAATTAGAAACAAGATATTTGGTGGCATTTACCCATACTAAAATAAATGTTTTTGGGGTAAAACATTGGAATGAATTGAGGACACAAGCAAGTTTTGAAGAAAGTTGTTCCCACACATGTTGTACATGACGTCCTCAGTGGTGTTTATTGTTCTTTAGATTAATAGACCCCTTGAATTTATTGACTAGAGGAATTGTTCTGGGGGACAAACAACAAGCCATCTTTTCTTATGCAAAAAACATCCACCGTTTTGTCCCCCAGAAACTTTCTCTCAGGACTCAGTGCAAGGGGTCTACAGGATGTGAAAAGGCACCAACAGATGTTCTAGAGAGAACATCCATGCCAAGGACTATGGATTGTGCATGAAAAATTCTTTTGAAAATGTGCTTGCATGACAGCATTTCTGCATATTATAAAATAATGCTGTCCTTGTCCTTCATTATCAATGTCTGAGGTCCCTAATATAATTTGATCAACGTACATTGACAGCCATGTCTTGAGCCCCACCCCTGACCTCCTTTTTTAACTTACCAAAGAAGATCTGTCCAGTTCTACTTGTTCTAGACTCTTCTGCATATCTTTGATCCATGACTGCCTCACTGAGGAATGCGCAGCTACGTTAATCCATAACTTATGAAGATCTTTTATCTCATATCCTATCAAGTCCTACAAATGAGACCACAACATATTGCATATTAAATATTGCGTAATTTGACAAGAAAAGTGTCCATTGGGCAGTAAAGCAATCATGGGACTCTAGGTCCTGTTCATGCCCACCCTCTTGGCCCTTCTTTCTTGTATTATTCATATTGTGTTTTTTTTCTTTTTTCTTTTTTCCTTTTTTAGTTTGTTTGCTATTTTTGAGAAGTTTGAAGGCCAATAAAGTTGTTTCAAAAAATAATAAAAAATCACTACGTACATAATTACATAATATGCAGTACATGACACTAACCTAAGTCAGGTATGGATAACTAACAGAATAAATTGGAATTATTAGCATGTTGGATTTTGTGGAAAACTGAAATGAAAACTGGAGAACCCAGAGAGAAACCCTAAGATCAAGGGGGAGACCTTAAAGGGAACTCAATACTTATCAATGTACACAGATGTATGTACACCTTAAAGACTACAGAAATAATAATAATCACAAGTAAAATCATTTTAACTTACATCATCCTTCTCTATCAACTGCATCAAATGATCAATTTCTAGAAATGAAAACAAGCAACTATTATCAATATATTTATTAATTAATTAATATGACTGATATTGCAGACAATACAACAATGACTCAGCAGCAGACACAATGAGTACTTCGTTTGTGTCATATCTATTTTACAGAGACCAGAAAGTATTAAATTTAATATCAACCTAGTATTATTATGTGTACAAATTGAAAGACTCTTGAATGGGATTTGAACCTGTGCCCTGGTGATTCCGGTGCCATGCTTTAACCACTGAGCTACCAAGTCTCATATGAGACTTCAAGGACACATCACACTGTAGGTGGGCTTATCAGCCCGATAGGTATGATTAGCCTGCATCCAGCCTGACTAACCAGAGTTAATGCAGGCTGCAAGCAGACTATCTAAGCATATATTTGCAAGTTACCTTTATCATTCTCAGCAAGTTTTACTTGGAGAGTTTCACTGGCTTCAATAATTCTTGGTTCTAAATCCTAACAAAGAAAGATAATTAACAATCATTACGTAATCTTCATGTAAAAATTTCTAACCTAGAGATTAAAGACCTATACATTTTTAAGAAAATAACTGTTATAAACCTCACATTCTTATTGGTTGGGAGCAATGTGCTTTATGAGAGCACACAGCATGCATGTGCTCTTTGCATTTTATAACAGAAATAAAAAACTTGCTTGCTGTGCTGTGTGGAGTTATAAGGCACTTGGGCACGGATTGGCAGAACACTCTCGAGAAGTGTTGAGAAGCACTTCGCTATTATATGCTTCCTGCTTATCCTAACACTTCTCTTGTGTTCTGCCAATCTCCCCTGCTTTATATCTACACACAGCAAGCGCACATGTTTTCTAATTCTTCAATACAAGTCATGTACGTGTATATGAAGAAGGCGTCTGAAACTTTCATCTTTAATTAGAGAGGGTTAGCTGTGACAATTGCCAACTATAGCACTGATTAACTTGTGGCCCTCTATGTTTAACATATGATCTCTCATCTTTATATGGTCAGTGCAAAGGTATTAATTATAGTCCAGGAGCTATTTCCTGAGAGCAAAGGCACTGCTAGCCTTCTACAAATTAATCACATTCTTTGAATATTGAATACATTATAATTTCTCTAGTTTGAAATATAAGGTTTTTCAACAAACAAGTAAGTAGATATATTTTCTTGGTTTACAGAATGGAACTTACTGTACTTATCATAGCCAATTCCTGGTACATATCCTCTAGGGTAGTCTCATGTCTCTCCTTTCTACTAGCCTTGATTTTTTCTACAATGTTGGATTTTGCCTGGGATTTTTCTGAATAAGCAAACAAAAAGCAAAAACAAAAACCAAAAGTGTGACTATGATAAATAAGAAAAAAATTATAAAGGAATAAATATTCAAAGTAAATAATTATAAACGTATTAATAAGTAATTAAAATAGAATGAGTGAATGTACATGTAGGAATGAAATATTCATTACTGAAAACTTAAGTAACTTTAGGATACTGTGATAAATTCATTTGGTAAACCAAATGATTCCTGGTCAACCCTTACTTTTTCAGGTCAGCTATGAATGAATGGATTGATGGATGGATAGACGATGGTAAGACAGATGAATGGATGGATGAATAATTCATCTTTTAAAAATTTTAAAAACTTTTAAAAATTAACTTTAGACCCTGTTCCACCCTTTGTCCATCTATCCATCCTTTCTTCTTTCTTCTCCATTCATTAATTATTAATGAATGGAGAAGAAAGAAGAAAGGATGGATAGATGGACAAAGGGTGGAACAGGGTCTGAAGTTAATTTTTAAAAGTAGCCATCCATTACACAACCATGTTTTAGGGCTTAGACCTCCAGCAAAAATCTTGGTCAGCAGTATTTCCTCTGACAATCAAAACAGAGATGCAAATTCAGGTTCAGATTCATTTTATTAGCACTCTTTTTTCCCTTAGAATAACTTTTTAGATGCCTGAATTGGAAAAGAATCTACTGAAAACCATCAAGATAGCTCTTTCTTTTATTTAATAAACCTTGCATTTGCAAACAGACTTGGAAAATATTTTTGGTCGTCAGGTGTACAACTATCTTTTAAAATGCAGTGACGTCAATTGAAAAATTATTCTAAAATTGTCTTTGACCACTGGATGACCCCATATTTCAGACCCTGTGGATATATTTTTTGATTAATAGATGGAAGGATGGATAAATAGAAGGATAAGTGCATTGATGGACAGGGCCCAGTAGTATGAAGCACTACTTTATCTGGTGTATAAATCCTTATCCAGTGGACAATTTGATGCTGTTATCCAATAAATTTATCCACTGGATATTATTTATCCATCAGAAGGCGCTATCCAGGCTTTGTACAACCGGGCCCAGATGAATAGATGGGTGGGAATGAATAGATGGATAAGCAGATGGATGGATGAGTGGATGGATAGGCAAATGGATGGAAGGATAAATGGATGGACAAATGAAAGGATGAGTTATTTAATTACTAGATGAACAATTAATCATATAATTGTACAGCTTCTCATTAATCCCATATAGGTTACTGTCCAATTATTTTCTTAATTGGACAGGTCTTATTGATATGGGATTAATTAGGCAGCTATATAATTAATAGGTAATGGGATTTCATGCTCCACAATCAAGAAATAATTAGAATCAAAAAATTCCTCTCACTGCCAAATAGGACTCGGCCTACGGCCTCATCCAATTTTGTCAGTCCTCGGAATTTTCCTTGTCCAATTATTTATCCCATTACATATATAAATTAACCCTTAATAATCAAAGAGAAAATATTCATACTTGGTAGGTCAGACATAAGGCCTCTGACTTCTTGAATAGCTTCATAGTTATCAGGTACAGAATCTCTTTCTATTGCTTCCAGTGCTGCATATCTAATCAAAAATAGCATAAGAGTGAATTTAGTCTAACTCTTGAATAGTTAATCTCACCTAAATTACAGTAGATAAGTTATTTACTACATGTATTTCAGTTGATGCACATAATTTGAATATTCACATGCTAACAATCTGAAAATCAGAATTAAAAGGGAGAATTAAATGAAGATGCAATCAACTGTCTCTTCGCACATTCTCTGGTTAAGTAAACCACTGGATTTTTATGACTGTTGGTTTGCAACCATCTCATTATCTCAATCAGAAGGGATACATGATACTCACTAGTGACCCTGTTGAGCCCGGTGAGTGTGGCTCATAATACTTGTAAACAATTGACAAGTTTTGGCGCCTTTTGAATCACACACGCGTCAATGTAAATGGCGTCAACTTGTTTGATTGATGGCAGTCTATTGCAAAGTGCACATCATGATTTTTGTCTGGGGTGGCTGCGTAGCAATGCAAACGAAGGTAATGAGACAGGACTGCCATCCAGGGTTAAGACAATGTTGTATATCTATATCAATATATCAATCCTGAATGTAGGTTCAACTATCTTAATATCTGCACCAGTTCTGTATTCATCATAAATCAAGAAGTTTGACTATTTTCCTCGATCTTGTACACATGCATGTACAACTTACTTGTAGTAGACTGGGTTTTCGATATAGGAATCGTTCAGCCTTGCTTGTGTCCATTCTCTTTGCCTTCTTGACAAAATCCCATGTCCTGTCACAGATCTAGACTCCCTTACCAACGGCAGAACAGGAGCTGATTTAGATTTGTATGATCTTCTTTCTTTTTCCAGAGATTCGACCAAGCTAACCTAAATTAATATTGTTTATAAACAAATATTTTAAATTACACTTTCAAAAACTTGGTATAAATAATCATTAATAAAGCTAAAATATTCTAACAGCCCTTCATAATAATGTTGTTAAACTCGCTCGCTAATTTAAAGATTGCATAACTAAATGAAGGTCAGGAAAAAAAACAATAATTTGAACAGACAAATATATCAGGTCAGATCAGCTGAATTCAATCGTCAATTAAAAGCAAGTCAAAAAAACAAGCTTCTGCTCACCTCAGCATCAAATATCTGACGATAAACCTGTCCTTCAGGAACGACTTTTGGCGTAGGTACCTCACTTTGAGCCATAAGTTGTTTTATGAGGTCTTAAAATCCCGGTAAAAATCTCGTAGTAAATATTTTCTTGTCAGCCGCCATTTTGTTTCTTGGTTCGTTTGTTGTAGCAACAATACTTGTCACCAGTACTTCTCGGTCATTTGTTGACTATCCCGTCATGCAGTTTGGGCCTCGAAGATTTTTATTTCCGGTTGTTATTCGGTATCATGTTCAAAACACGATGTTCTTTATCTCAATACAATACTTTTATCACCAACTCTTTGTGTGAATATCTACGAATATTTTGATCAGATTGGACCAGGTGAGCTATCGATAATTTATATTTTTCTCCATTTTCAAAATTGAGGGTCTTTCTTGGTGGGTTTTTGTTTTGCAGGGTGTTGTGTAGCTCCACATTTTATTATCCTTTGGCTATTATTTTATTGTCTTCATGTTTAAAGTGCCTTGCAACACCAAGAAAGAGCCTATCCATTTATAGATGGAAGACATTACGACACAGACAGGCAAAGCAGACGTATTAAAGCTACTCTTATAAACGCACTAGCTGCGAGATATTGATTCATTGCGAGCATAGTAATGCATCGGAATGGTTGGATAACCTATTGTTTTAGGTTTTTGTTCGGCTTTATCCATTATTATATGACGTTGACCGTGCATTAAGGAAACGTTGCTCTATTTGTTCACATTATTAGAGAAATATAGAATCCTCCCCTAAGAAATCGTTCTAACTAAAGTCACAACGAGCCGCAGCCGAACAAACTTTGTGAACAGCAGGGGTAATAAGGTGTGACGTTATAATCTCGTTACATTGTGGTTTCAATATTTCAATTTGGCGCGAATTACGAAGTAGAACGTAGGGGGGAGGTGGGGGGG